CAGCAGAGGATACACGAGCAACTCGAGGTAACTGTGGTTATGTTAGAGGCACTCTATGTTAGAAATCTTTAAATTACTCAGCTAAATTAGAATTAACTCTGAAATTCAGATCTTATTCAAATATCTCTTGAGAGAAGTTCTTCTCTACTTGCTGGGAAAAAACATGTTCATCAATTTAGGACATTCATTTTGTATCCCCAAAAAAAATAAAAAAAGAATTAAAAAAAGAAAAATCTTCCTAGGAATAACAAGCAAACTACCTTGATACTCACCCTATGAATACAAAATGCACATGTAGCATAAAAATTCAAAGCGTAGAAATTGAAGATCGAAATTTAATAGGAACATTTACATACATAACACTCAATTCCTATGTATTTACATATCTACCACCTAAACTTCAATTTTTAAATCCATGCCACATTATCTAGGCATCAAATGTATTTCACTTTTTTATAGTTAAAATAGTGGTATTTTTTTATGTGACACAAAAGATTTGGGTGGCATAAACGTAAAATATAAATTTTAGGAATTAGATATGTAAATACATGGAAATTGAGTGGTATGTATGTGTATGCCCCAATTTAATATCATTTATCATGTTCTTACAAACCCTTATAAGATAGAAGCCTCTATCACAAAATACAATGAAATAATCTTTCCCAAAATATTCTTTCGAGCATGAAGTCGAAATCTCACAGAGAAAGAAGGTTTTACTCTTCAATGTTTTATCAAACAAATGAAAGCGTTTACTGCAAACTGCAGGACAATATGATTTATATATGTCAAGACAACAGAGGTTTCTGATATATATGATCAATGAATAAAAAACATGCCAAAAAATAAACTTCACAGAACCAATTCTTTATATCATCATCATTGTGAGTATGAAAGCTTTATAGTGTCATAAAAAATACATCGCAGGTGTTCTATAAGGATCTTCATTGCTCTGTTTCATTCTTATTATATTCTAAATTATTGTACAATTGTTTATAAACCAAAATACATATTATCAACGTAGGTACAAAAGCACTTACAAAGACGGATGGAGGTTCAGGGTAAGTACTTGCAGTCAGTGCTAGAAAAGGCTCAAGAGGCTTTTGGGAAGCAGAATTCGGGTTCTGCAGGACTTGAAGCTTCTAGAACGCAACTCTCTGAATTAATCTCAAAGGTTTCAAATGAATGTTTCACCAGCACATTTCCGTATTTGGAAAAAACGTATTGTTCACATAATCAAGAAGGACACATGGCCCAGATTAACAATTTCTCGATGTACAGCTGCTTAACCTCGTGCCAAGAATCACAAAATGGACAAGAAATGCATGATACAAATATGGTACTAACAGCTTATTATCATGGCAATTTATCATTGGGAACACAAGAAATGGAACAGATTCAATCTGGATGGTCTGAAGATCTTAATGGCAGCAAAATATTTTCTCAAACAGGGGTGAAAGACTCAACGCAGAACACTTTGCCAGTTTCGAGGGGCTTCGGTATCCTATCAATATGCAAATCAGAGGGAAATAGAAATTTAGAGATACATCCCAGGCAAAATGAGGAACATAATTCTTACCTTGACCGGGCAGATTACGAAAGATATGTTATTCAGCAAAGAAGTTTAAAGAATCCAAGCGAGTGTGAACAGCCAAGTGCGACGACGCAATTGGATTTAAATGCCTGTGATGAATACAATGTTTCTAAAAATGGCAATGGGAATGATCTAAATGGTTTCAGCTGGAGCTAATGAAGAGCATGTGAGCTCACTGATCCATGAACACAAAGCTGTGCGTAATTTCATAATATTAGCAACTGTGAGATATCTCTTTCACATTGTCTCAGAGGCTTTTGAATCAAAGACATTTGATATCAATATTCATAGTGCAATTTCATTACTTACCCAATGAGATCCATTGATTAAGGCGAAAATCACGCTTCAAAGCCACTTAGATGAAAATGTATACAAACGAGTTAGCATATCGAAGGGATTATGTTCCTGGCCGCCGCTGGCTTTTAAGTTCTAAGTAATATTGTAGTAGTCAGAATGACATCACTTGCTATAGTTCCCACACTGAAAACTTACTCATGTCATACTTAACAAGAAAATGCAAAAAAAGGCTAATTATGAGATGCATACTCATCCCACAATCCACAGTTCAGTAAGCATAGAATACCTTCATGACAATAAGAAGAAACACCAGCAACACATTATAAAGTCCTCTCTGTGTACCAATTGAAGAATAACCTTTTTTCTTAAAGAATCTATTCCTGGGATGATCTAATCTGCAGTTACAACCATTGACCTGCAAATTATATTATGGGACTGTTTGGTTTTGCTGAAAAAGGTACACAACAACAACAACAACAAAGCCTTAATCCCACTACGTGGGGTCGGCTACATGAATCCTTTTTCTCCACTGCGTCTTATTTAGTGTCATATTTTCATTTAGTTCTAGTAAATTAAGATCATTTTTAATACAATAAGCCCAAGTCTTCCTAGGTCTACCTCTTCCTTTCTTAACACAAGTTAAATCTAAAACATCTACTCTCCTAATCGGATCATCAGATGGTCGACGTTTAATGTGACCAAACCATCTAAGACGACTTTCTCTAATTTTGTCTGTCACAGGAGCTGTCGGCACTAAAAAGAGTTATGTTTGGGGGTCGCCCGTAAGAAGCTGTCGGTCGCCGAAATCGAAATCCCGTCGCCCGCTTCGGAAGGACGTTTTAATTTACGTATGTATATATATATATATATAATTTTAGAAAAATATGAAATCAAACTGACCTCATATTTTTCGTAGTTTAAATGAAAGAGCACTCTACCTCAAACCATGTATTTATCCCGAAGGATAAACACAAGACTTGAGGATGATGCTCGATCAAATAAACTAAGAAAGATATGACATCCGTTTGGTCTGCGAAACCGTTTTATTTGCCGACAGAATTAAATAAGGTTTATTTTAGGTTGGGTTCGGAAAAGCTCCCTGTAAGGGCAAGCCCCTGTAGTTAATTACATCTTAAATGACCGAAGTCACCTAAGAAAACTCTCGATAAAAATCAAGGAATATTATCTTCAAAGAGGTCAAAAGGATAGGACTTTTCAACGAAATCGGACGAAGAGATGTGAAAAAGGAAAAACTCGAATCTAAAACATTGTTCAGGAATCCAAATGAAGAGAAACTAGGGAAGGTCACAGATCCTGAGGAGAACCTCAGTGACTTCCAAGTTTATCCTATGATTTGGCTCCAGTTTTGAGAAGAAATTATTAAAATGTTTTATCCTACCAATTTTATTTAATTAGGGCTTATATTTGTGTGATAGGGTCACACAAATTGCCTAGAAAATGTGAGGGTTTACGTCGTATCAGACGACAACCTCGGAACCTAGAACAAGTCAGGGCTTAAATCGTACAGCAGAGCCATACGAATGCCTAAAGAAAAGGTGGAGGACTTATGTTGCGCTAGACAGACAACCTCGAAATCTTATGGATTGTTGTTTAATTTCTAGGAGAAGGGATGGTTTTGCTGGGGAAGACATGTTCTGCTGTTGAAGATGGTCGTGCTGCCCACTGCGCTAGCTCCAAGCTCTCCGACATGACGAGTTTAAGTTTTCTAGGATGTTCAGTTATAGTGTTAAATCAAACGGTCCTATGGTTGTAGTCCTCTAAACATCCTATGCAAAAAGAAAACATGCTTGAAGTTATATAATATAAAGTGTGCAACGCAGGAACAAACAATAAAATGCACGTGGCCTATGCAAAAAGAAAACATGCTTGAAGTTATATAATATAAAGTGTGCAACGCAGGAACAAACAATAGAATGCACGTGGAACAGTAGTAGGCAAAAACAGGAGCAGTATAACATGCTATACGAGAAGAACAGCAACAAGTAGAAACATAAATAACATAACATGCTGTACGGTACGGTAGCAGGTAGAGACAGAAATGGTATAACATACTGTATAAGAAGAGCAGTAGCAGGTAGAAACAGGAAAATTAATTGCTATAAAAAGTAAAGCAAACTTGTACGCCCGTGAGATCCGCTGTTCCTTAAGTATAGCAAACCTAAATGCATCTCAAAAAGCAAATTCCGAAAGAAACGTCGTCCAGGAAACCCGAGGAAAAGCGGAGAAACTCGAGAAAATCAACGAAAAAAAAATTCAAG